CTCAACTCGTCGAGTAGGTTACTTAAACCACGCGGTCCTGATAATCTCTACTCGATGAGTTTGGGGCTTCTAACTCGTCGAGTTGCTTTGTAAACATGAATAAATTATAAATTAAATGCATACCAGGAACCAAGCGTTACATGAGCACTATCTCAGTGCTCCCCATGACTCTCTCGTTGACCTCGCCCCAACAAATAGGAGTCTGAAACCTCCTCCCATAAAGAAGCTCAAAGGGAGGCATACAAATGTTGGTATGATGGCTTTTGTTGTAAGAAAACTCAGCAAGGGGAAGATAGGAGTCCTAACTCCCACCAAAATCAATGATGCATGTATGCAACATATCGAGCGTTTAGATAGTCCGCTCGCTCTGCCCGTCGTTCTGCGAATGATAGGCGGTATAGAAATGTAATCGGGTGCCCAACTCTTCATGAAAACTGTTCCAAAACTAGGAAGTGAAACGAAAATCTCGATCCGATACAATAGACGCCGACACCCCATGCCATGCGAGCCACCACCTCCCGAACATAAATCTCAGCTAGTTTCTCCGTAGAATAACCCTCACTTATGGCTAAGAAGTGATCACTTTTCTTCAAACGATCAACTATCCCCCATATAGCATCAAATCCCCTTGAGATATTCGGTAATTTTGTAATGAAATGCATCGTGATCTGTTCCCACTTCCACAGTGGAACCTCCAAAGGCTGCAACTTGTCGTGAGGGCGCTAGTTCTCGGCTTTGACCTTCCGGCAGGTCAAGCATCGCTCTACAAACCAGGCCACATCCTTCTTCATACACGGCCACCAATTTCAGGTCGAGATACATTTTGGTAGCACCTGGATGAATGGAAAATCTCGACTTGTGGGCCTCCTCCATCAATACCCATCGAGCCCTATCCGCATATGGGCCTCCTCCATCAATACCCATCCATGAAGATTCAAAAGTCCCATATTGTCAATATCAAATGCTGAAACCTGACCGATCACCCCCTCACTCTTCCGGATCTCTTCCTTTATGGCCTCCAACTGCGCTTCTTTGATTGTTTCCAAAACTGGTGTCATCACAGTCATCCTTAAGCGCACATCTTAAATCGGGGTACTGGCCGCCCTTCAGCTCAAGGTGTTGGCCACCACATTGGCCTTGCCTGGGCGATATAGAATTTTACATTCATAGTCTTTCACTACATCTAGCTACCTCCTCTGCCTCATGTTTAGGTTAGGCTGATCCATAAGATATCTTAGGCTCCTATGGTCCACATAGATGGTACATCAAACTCCATAAAGGTAGTGGCGCCAAATCTTGAGAGCGAAAACCACCGCCCCTAATTTCAAATCGTGGATGGGATACTTCGACACATGAGGCTTCACCTGCCTCGAGGCGTATGCAATCGTGTTCCCCCTCTACATCAACACAACACCCAACCCTGAAATGGATGCATCACAGTATACCACAAAATCCTTAATTCCCTCATAGTGGGCAACTACTGGTGCATCATGAAGTCTCTGATGAAGAGTCTTGAATGATGCCTAATGTTTAGTCCCGCAACTAAACACAACATCCTTCCTCGTCAACTTAGTGGGAGGAATTGCAATCTTGGAGAAGTCTCGAATGAATCTCCGATAATATCCTGTCAAATCGAGGAAGCTCCTAATCTCAGATGGAGACTTCGACACTTTCCACCGCATCAATGCCTCTATCTTAGTTGGGTCAACCAAGATACCATTCTGGTTGACGAGGTGTCCCAAAAATTGAACCTCACGCAACCAAAAATCACACTTGGAGAACTTGGCATATAGCTTCTCCATTCCAAAACTCTGAGAATCTCACGCAAATGCTCCTCATGTTGCTCTCTGGTCTTAGAATAGACCAGAATGTTATCGATGAATACGATCACCGACCGATCCAACATAGGCCTACGCACCTGGTTGATTAGATCCATGATGCTGCGATTCCAAGTCTCGATTAGGTACGCGACACATACCTCAGGTACGCCCAACATACGAGCTAAAGTGCAACAATTTTCGACATAAGGACCAAAAATGTAAATACTTGCAAAACGGATGTTACAATGGTTTTATCCATACATGGCTAAAAACGAATTAAAACTAATAAAAAGGTAAACTAACTGATTAATCTTTCTAAACTAAGTGTTGGAGATGATTCACAGCTTGCAGATCTTTAAAAAAGTGTTGAAAAGTAGCAGAAATCACCTTTAGAAGGATTTTTCGTCGTCTGGAACCGTCTTACTCTCGAATCTGATGTGGAGGGTCATATTTATATGCAGGAAGGAATCTTCCAGAGCAAGAAAACGAAATCTGAGATCGCAGATATAGGACGATGCTATTTCTGACATTTTTCGAGTTGCGTCATAAAAATGCGATCGCAGATATAGAAATATGATCAGATACTTTGAAAGTTTTCTTCCAGATGACTTTTTCGACCTTGCAAATCCTCGATCAACTAATGCGAACGCAAATGTCGAAATCTGTGATCATAGATTTGGCTTTTCGGCACGTTTCGTGTGCAATTCTTCAGTTTAAGCATTCCATGTCTTTCCTCAGCATCCATCTTCAGTTCCAACTCAATTTAGGCTCCAAATATGCATCCAACTGCTCTCAAAGTACCGCTCCACTCGAATTATCTGAAAACGACACAAAAACGCTAGTAGTAAGGGAATTCTGATAGAACACATGAGCTGAACATTATTTAAGCTAATGATATGCAAATGTAAAAATTATGATGCTAAATGCTAATAAAAACTATTCTAAAAGATGCATAAAATGACATCAATCAGGGGCATCTAAAATTACATGGTCAATATTGACTTGAGCTCTCAATTCATACATCTTCTCTCTATACCACTTTTTAAGGAGTTGTTGGTCAATCCATCGAAAAAACCCATAATTGTTGTCTTCATCATTGTAGTTTGTGAAGCCAATAAGCCTCCGGCCAGGATTCTTTCGCGTCCATGTCGTCCACATTCCAACCGGATCTCCACATCCGCACAGTCTCACGTTATTACTTGAAGTCGTCAACATCGATTTGCCATAATTTCTCTTCTTTTGCGTGTGGGTTTGTGAATATAGGTGTTGGAAGGACCGCTTTATGAGAATAAATTCCAAAATATGGCATTATAATGTAAAATACTTAACAAAAAATTAATTCCTAACAACTTAGCTACATTTTTTTCCATAGCAAACAAGCAACGAAATTAAAAATCCATAGCACAATTCTTTAGGTAACAACTATGAATTGTACTTCCATAGCAAAGCGATTGTGAAATTTTCATCTGTTGAAAAATTTCATTGCAGATTAACCACGATATTTAATTTCATAGCATAATTACAATGAAAAGTATTTTCGTAAGAAAGTTCGTTGCAACTTTGCAACAAACGGTTTTTCCGTAAAAATATTGGTAGCAATATACCAACGGATTTCGAGTCCATAACAGTTTTCGTCGCAATTCTCATGTTTGCTACTAAAAATTAATTTCATAGAAAATATGGTAGCAAATTAGCTATGAAACGCGATTCCATAGCAACCTTCCCTAACAATATTGGATATATATATATATATATATATATATATATATATATATATATATATATATATATATATCTTCCTAATAAAAGCCTCTCTAGGTTTGCCACATGTCCCTCTTATAACCCATAACAATCCACGTGTCATTACCTCCTATATTCACAGAAAAAACTTCCCGCCCAAAACATTATTATCGGACTCTAATCTAACTCTAACTCTAATCTAATCTAAATCTAAATGTAACACTAAATTAACGGAGTGTAATCTAATCAAAATCAAATTCAAATTCAAATTCAAATTCAATTCAAATAAAATCACTATATTATAAAACGAAAATTTTATTTGTTATCAATCTTTGACCGCCCAATCCACACATTCTGCTACTAATCAGCAAATCTGTTTCCTTATTAAACATGCATTAAAATCCATCATATCACATAAAATCAGCAATGAGTTTTTAATAAGTTTATATTTTTCCAAATATATATGCATCATAATAGGAATTAAATCAAATCAAATCAAATAAAATATTAACTTCGAATTTGAATGTTTTCTTTCACTTATAAACACGAAACCTTTGAATTCGTTTCCAACATTTTCCTATTCGCATTTTGCTGATTAGCTGAATCATAAAACACTACGATTCTGGTAAGGCATCCCCAAACAACAATGTCATTATTCTTCTCCTTCTGTTTTTTCCTTTTTGCACAAACCATGCAATTCTGTTATTGTTATTGTTATTTTTATTTTGATTATATATCTATATTATTCTCCTTCTGTTACTTTGTGTAATATCTTATAGACAAAATCATCATTTTTCTCATATTTAGACACATAATGCATAACTTCATCATATTAATCGCCATAAAAAATGGTGACTATAGAAATTAAAAAGGTTTACTATATAAATTAAAAAGGTTTACACAGAATGAAATTATATGTTTTAATTTTTGTTAAATACGAATAAGCTTTCTATGCTTTTGTTTCTGTGCAAAACCTAGAAGTGCACCAGAACCTTTTTTTGTTTGGATTTGTTTAGTACATTGCTATAGATTGTAAAAAAGTATGGATATTTCTAATGTTAGACAGCTTTACCCTTTGTATCAATAAGAAAGCTACTTCGAAGCTGTTATGGATATAAATTGAAGAAGTATTTCGAATCTTTTAATAAGAAAAATGTTTACAACATTATTTACCATTATTTTTATATGTTGGACAAATTTACCCTTTATGCCTTATTTGAAAATTATATCTTTTATTTTTTGTTAACTAAGAATAACCTTTATATACTATTGTTTCTGTGCAGATAATACGTATAAGTGCACAGAAACCTTTTCTTTTCAGAATTGGTTTACTTTTAAAACTACTTTGGATTGATAAAAAACAATCAAAACAAAAAATAGCCCAAACTGTTACATATATTTTTTATCAAATTTATATAAATTTGTATTTTTTTCAGTTAAATGGGTGATCAAAGTGTCACTTTGATTGATGATGTGGATGCGCTGAGGGACGATTTGACACTAAAAGTTTGTGTCATAAACTTGTGGAACCATATGTCATTCTACAACAAGGATAACATTTGGGCCATTGAATTAATCTTACTTGATGAAAATGTATCTACACTCTACATATTAATGATTTCTTACACTTAAACACTTAATTACAATTACTTCTTTGTTTATGGTATATAAATTTTTTATAGGGGAGAAAAATCCAAGCTACTGTCTACAAAAAATGTTTGTATCGTTTCAAAAATCTGTTAAAGGATGGGTCATCTTTTTACATCACAAGACCAAGTGTTGCATCACAAAAGCCCGGTAGTTTCAAACTAACTCCTCAAGATCAAAAACTAACATTTGTCCAAGATACTGTTGTTACAGAATGTGCAGAATTTTCTGGATCTAAATTTGGATTTTCATTTGTTGAGTATCAATCTATACTCTCATTTCTACATCCTCAAGATACATCTGTTGGTTAGTTAGTATTTATAATTCCCGTTATAAACTAAAAGTTTAATTGGTCTTAATTGTGCTTATCTAATTTATATAATCTCTTCAAATTTTAAACAACTCTTCATTCAATTGTTTTTTTTATTTTACAGATGTTATTGGATTGGTAGTTGCTGTTAGTGAGATGATAAGAGATAATTCAGATAAGTCTAAACAGAGGCTAACCATTCACATCCAAGATGCAAAGTATGTTTTTTATATCTTTATATTTGTAGTCTATATTATGTTAAAAAATGACTTTTAATAAACAATTGTTGACTTTTCAGTGCTTTGCAACTCCGTGTAATTTTGCGGGGTGATTATGCGTACAAGATGCAGAATTACATAGATAACAATCCACCAAATCAACATGTTGTTGTTATACTTCAGTTTGCACAGATTACTATTTGGAGAGGTATATTTTTATTTTATCAACACACTTAATCATATTGGATTGTTATACTAATTATTATTATTTTTATTAAAGATCGTCCAAGTGTTAACACCTACTTTACATCTTCAAAGTTGTTCATTAACTCAGAAATTGATGAAATTACTCTCTTCAAAAAAGGTAATGCATTTCATATAGGTTTTAATATACAACATTTCATTTCAATAATACTAATAATTTATACTTTATATAATTTACAGTTTAGATGTGGATGATCGTCCTGATTCATCTTCAAATACAATTTCAGTTATTGAATCTAAACAACTTCTGAATTTGATGATTTCATAGTTAGAACTAAGCTGAAGACTATTGCTGAGATTTTTGAACCCCTTGAGGTATTTATTCTAATTTTGTAAACTTTTATTTTATTTTATAAAATTATATATATTATAAATTATAAAATTATAAATATAAATACTTTTCTATATACAAATGTAATATAACAACTATATCTCTATATGTATCAAAATGAATCTTTAACATGCAAATATTAAATTTGAAATGTACCTGAATAATGCTGCAATAACCTTCGAATAATGAATATGATGTTTCCTCACAAAGGTGAAATAATCATCAATTTAATGTTTGGAAGATACTTTTACCTGATAAGAAAAGATAAACAAAATTACTTAAATAAAACTTATAAAATAATAAAATACTATAAATAGCAACTTTTTCATGCAGAAAACATATTTCATTATAGTTGGCACTATAAAGGGGATATTGCAAAATGAGAGATGGTTCTATCCCGCATGTACAAACTGCAGTTACTGTGCTCAGGTTAATGATGCAAAAGATGATACTAATGTTCATCAATCAAATGCAAAATCAATTTCTTATGAATGTCATAACAGAAATTGCACAAAAACAACAACTTCTGTTGTACCGAGGTTATTCTTTCTACTATAATCATACAAAAATGTTTTTTACTCCATGTATTTTAATAATATATTTTGTAAACCTATTATAGATTTATGATACCGATACGTGTGCAAGATAATACCGGGACTATCACCTTAACAATGTTTGAAAAAGAAGGAAGATATCTTTTGAAGAGTTCAACAAAGGAGTTGGTTAAAAGAATGACACATGTCATTTGAATATTTTTAAATGATTATTAGGTTTTGTGTATATGTGAACTTGCACCAAGTTGTATTTATATTATTTTTCGTTGCAGAGTGGAGACAGTACTGAATTTTTTCCGGGGGAGGTTAATGCATTGAAAGGTTTGAAATTGGCATTCAAGATTTTTGTTACGGATTTCAATGTGTCAAAAAAAATCAATCAATATGGAATTACTAGAGTCAGTGATAATGTTGATATAATTGAACAACTCGAAAACAAGTTTACTGATTCACAGGTAATTAATTTGTTGATTATTGTTTTTTTTTGTTGCTAACTATATGTTCTTATGGGTTTTTTAAAACAATTTTATTGTTATTTTCTGTCTTTTGCAGACTGGTATAACACACTCTCTGGATATTGGTTTGGCCGAATTCGAATCTCAAGACAACAGAACTCTAAAGGTTTTATGCATGTTACATTAGATAAATATATTATAAAATAATACTTCGATTTAAATAACAATGTTGTATAATTGTTTATTTAGGATGTAATTTCTGGTACCGACGACAACATAACTCCTTCCAATGTTGACAAAAACTCAGCAACAAGCCCAATGAAGTTAAACAACACAACACCCGTTTTAAAACGAAATCTAGAAGAAGTCTTTAATAAAGAATTGAATGAAAACTTATCGTCCTCAAAAACTCCAAAAGTATCTCCAGATGGTCCAGGAAAACAGTTATTGAACGCGAAGTTGGAAAAAAGTGGCTGACTCGGCTTTTTGTGGTTAATTTGGAAATGAATTCTTTTTTGGAATTTCATGAACAATTTTCAGTTTTTATTTTGCATGGTGGTTTTAAACTATATTGGTTTTATGTTTTAACAATTCTGTTTTTTAAGGTTAAAACTTTGGATTCTATCATTTTATTTTTAAATGGTTTGTGATGCTATATTTGTATAGCATGTTATGATTAAAATTTTCCATATTTTTTGTTATACCATCATGGTTTTCCATCTTTATTCGGTTGTTTATTAAATACAAAATCATACATTCTATATGTAATGTATAAACAAAAAACAATGAGTTATAACGAAGCTAAAAATACCAAAAAAAAAAGGTTTTTGATATAACAAGGGTGAAAAAGAGCATGATAAATATGATCAATATCAAAAAATTTACATGTATTATGCCTCTATTTAAAAAAAAAAAAACTAAAATTTGTGGAAGCAGCCAATATAGTGAATCTAAAAATACCAAAAATTTTAGTAAGCTGATTTTATTCAACTTTTGGGAAGCATAATTAATGATTACGGTGCATAAATAAAAAAGGACATAAATGTTTAAGTCGATATTAACATGTGTAGTAATCAAATGTAGGTTGCTACTACTTGTAATATTAATTTATTATTTTATCTGCATATTTTGTACATTTGATCAGGTTGCTGTTAGGATTTGTACAGAAACATGTTAAAATTTTTAATTTATTTCATTTTATCTCTTATTCAGTCATTGTACTTTGCCCATGATAAAAAATTAAATTTCCACGTGTCATTTTCACCCATTTTCTTAGAAAATTATTCCCTCCCAAATACATAAAAAATCACACTCAAATTCAAATTAAATTCAAATCAAGATAATTCACGATAATATAAAACTAATTTTTATTTTGAAAATCAATCTTAATCTGCCCATACCTTCTTTGACGAATCCACACACTCTCCTACTAATCAGCAAATTTGTTTCCATATTACGCCTGCATTAAAATTCATTTTAAATAAATTAAACATCATATCGCATAAAATCAGCATGGGTTTTTGAATCAATTTATTATTTTCCAAATATATCTGCATCATAATAGGAATTAAATAAATTACAAAATTAACTTCGAATGTTTTCTTTTACTTATAAATATAAAACCCCTAAATTCGTTTCCAACATTTGCCTTTACGCATCTGCTTCGTATGAGAACCTTAAAACACTGCAATTCTGGTAAAGCTATTCTTATTCTTATTCTCCTTGTGTTCCTTTCTTTATATGTTATCTTATAGTCAAAATCTTCATTTTTCTCATACTTACACACAGAATGATGATTTGGGTCATATAAATTACCATAAAAAAACACAAAACTATAGATGTTTATCTGTTATGTTTAGAATCTCGTAGTGGAACCAAAAATCATTTCATTTTTCTCATGCTTAAACACATAACTATAAAATAATAACCGTGACAATATATTTTTTTTTATTTTTTGCAGATCAATGGCTGCATCAAATGTTACTTTAATTGCTGATTTAGATGTTCTAAGGGATGATTTAACATTCAAACTTCGTGTTATAAACTTATGGAACCAGAAATCATTCTATAACAAAGATGAACTTTACTTAATTGAATTGATCTTAATAGATGAACAGGTATACTTATAAGTTATTAAGAATGATTCTTTATAATATAGCTTACAATGACCATTTTACTTATTAAAGACAATTTATATCATACTTCTTTTAGGGAAACAAAATCCAAGCAAATGTCTCAAGGAAAAACATCTACAGATTCATAGATATTCTAAAAGATGGCCACGCATTTTACATAAAATGTCCAATCTTTGCATCAGAAAGGATGGGTGGTTTGAGGTTAACTCGTCATCATTATAAACTTACTTTTGTCCATAACACTGTTGTTACTGAGTGTCATGACTTTTATGGGCCTACGTTTTGTTTTGAGTTTGTTGATTATCAAAGTCTTATCTCATTGGTCCATCCTCCAAACATATCAATTGGTTAGTTCATTTGAATATAGTTTAATTATCAAGAAATCTTATGTTTTAATAAAATATTATGTATTCACATTCACAACAATTGATATGTTTGATATTTGTTATTTTTCATAGATGTTATTGGATTAGTGGTTGGAATTGGTGACATGTGGCGAGATAATGCAGACGTGAACAAACACAGACTCATCATCCAAATTCAAGATGCAAAGTTTGTTTAGACATATATTTATTTTGATCACTTATAATATACAAGAATTTATCTTTTTTACTTTAAAAATTTATTTTTCAGTGGTTTGCAACTATCTGTCACTTTGTTGGGTCATTATGCTTACACAATGCAAAACTTTATCGATAACAACGTACACAATCTTCGTATGATTGTTATCCTTCAATTTGCAACGCTTAAAGTTTGGAGAGATAAATTTATTTTTTTATTAACCTTTATTTTATAATAATAAAAATAACACCTATATTATTTATTTTTTAGGTCGTCCCACAGTTAACACGTACTGTTCCGTGACAAAGCTTTTCATTGACACTGACATTGATGAAATCAATGTTTTCAAGAAGAGGTAATTTATGTTTTATCATTTTATTTCTACTGTTACCCTTGATGTCACTCATATTATTTAACTCTTTTCCTAATAACAGTTTAGATAGAGATGATCCCCCTGATTTGTCATCGAATACACATACAATTATTCCATCTAATCAAGTTTGTCAGCATGATGATTTCAAACTTAAGTTTCAGTGCAAGAGTAATGTTGATGTTTGTCAACACGGTAAAGAGATTATGAAGGTGAAATTGGAAAACATTGGGTAACTTTTGATTTTAAGATCAAGTTTGAAAAAATATGTTTGTTTACATTAATAAACTTCAGTTTTATTTTACATTCTTGTAGTTTTATATTCTCTTTGGAATTTTGAAACATTTATTTAGCACCATTTTTGTTTTAGTGGGTTTCTTAAATAATTTATGCTTTATACAAAAACTATATGAAAATTTCGATTTTCATGAACAGACACACAAATAACAAATAGAAGAACATACTGAACCACTAATAAAGAATCACATACAAATGTAAAAGTACAATGTTCTTATAGACGAATTTAAAAATATAGATTTTTCAGGTCTATTTTGGGGGTAAAATGGTCATTTAAATAAATTAATTTTTTTTCTATTTTAAGTTGTCACAGTTGAATTATAAGGATGTTAACTGAAAGAATTTATACAGATTAGATTGGATGACGAAAATGAAGGAACTTATGGGAAAAGAAACATATGTGTAATTGACGAATTATGTTTCTGGTTTAATGAGATAGTAATTGAAATTGAAATTTTTTCCATATCATGCCCCTGATGTACTGTAGTGTGAGTTTAAATGACCAAAATGGCATTTTTAATATTTCATTTCGCAATATTCTTGTCGAGGGAAAATGCTATGAAGTAGCTGCGTAAATAAATTCACAAATAAATGATATTTTTCTTATTAGACATATTCTACATCAGTTTCCTGACCTTTTAACAATTTTGTGTTACATAAATTACAGAATAACCCTATAATTGACAGAATGTTTAGTTACCATCTTATTATATGGGTTACATAATTATTTTCATATATGTTGTAACAAAACAAAGCATTGTTAATTTTGGGTTACAAATTAGTTTTAAAGAATCGATTACCCAAAGATGTTATTGTTCTATTTGAGTTTTTAGCTGTTAAAAATAATGTCATTTTTTTTGTCCATATAACAAAAGTGCAGATTGTTGGTCTTATATTCTAATTAAATATCAGAAAGATCCAGAAATATTAATAATTTGACAAAATAATAGCTATAACCGGATATATATAATAATGGTTAAATTTTTTTAATTAACAATCAATCATGATTTACTTTGCCAACTTTAACTATGCCATTGAATCAAATATGTAAAAACGAAGATATTAGTTTGAACAATACTTTTTGTAATTTGATTATGCAAAATATTATAGGCAAGCATATTCATCTGATACCATTCATAGATGCCGAATTAGTATTTCAATAGGACCTCAATTTATATAAAAAAATTAAATATCTAAACACTAATATGATTTTTTTGTAAATGCTAATTCAGTAATCAAATATTCAAATACATTAACATTAATATGAGTTTGTCTTGCGTTTTTTATATATTTAACCCTAATATCTGGCAAATCTTTTAAAAAATTGCAATCTAATTTCAGAAGGTATATAAAAATATATTAATAACTTATTTACTCATATTAATCGGAATAACATTTGAACAGATTTAACACTAACATCTACCAAATTCGAATTTCAAAATTTCAAACTATTACGCAGATAGTATGAAAATCATAATTTCATTCAAATTGAAAGTTACCTGATTGTCTCTCCAGTCTTGAAGTATTTCAAATTTTTCTTCATACCACTTCAGTTTTCGATCGGTTCTTCAAAAGACATCATTTCTGTACAAAATAATCAGGTATAATTTCTTCCAACTAATCTATGTTTTGTATGTATATTTAGATAATTTTTTACCTTCAATCATCACATCTTCAAACCCTAATCATTCGTACCTTCATTCTGTGACTTCTACATCGTATATTATCGATAAAAACAGACTACTCGGTTCAAATCAGATTCGTTGCTTGTATATTACTTTCTGCCTTCATCGATACCAAGGGACAAACTTCTATAGATTTCTGAACTGAATACCTTAGAGTTGTTAATCTTGATTGTTGAGATATCGATTTTGCTATAACACTGATCTAGGTCTTCATTTCTATTACGACAAAGGGGGAAAATGGGGTTATTATGATTGCTTTTCGTGTAGGTGGGTTTGTTGTTAAACAATAAATAGTAATTACTATTTTTATTTTAAATAAAAACAATAAAAATAAATAACTTTTATTTTTCTAAATTTTCTATCAATAATATTTAAATAATTTAAATTGGTGTGTATATATATATATATATATATATATATATATATATATATATATATATATATATATACCCAATTAATATTAAAAGAACTATAATTTAAATAATAACCTCAAAATTTATATTTATATGTTATATTTATTAAATTATGATTTAAATTGACATAAACTATTTAAATTGCCATTTTATCTATTATGCTCAACAATTTATTAAGAAAAATTTATTTATATATGATTATGTAATTTTATGATTTTGAAATATCATTTATTTCGTATTTGATTAGTATTCAATTCGTCAAATTAAGTTTATACAAATTACATAAGCTATCAATCGTATGTAACATTTGCTATCAAATTGTTAATTTTCTTTTTCAATGTACTTTTTTATTGTTATTATGTATCGAACAAGAATATGGATGCAACGGACGCTAGAGAAAGAAGAAAAAACAGAAAGTTATATTTGGATAACAAAAAATCCAAAAAACATCGCACTACATCATCGTCTCATCATACATCATCGTCTCATCATACACCTACTGCACATGCTATTAATTTTAGCCAATACGGTAACCTTCTTTCTTTATTTTGCATTTATAATATGTTTTATTTATTTATTTTAGTATTAAATATATTATTTATTTTTTTAAAAAAATAATAATAAAAATAATAAAAATATATTTGCACTTAATATAAAATATTGACTTTAAGTTGTTTTCTACTATTTTACAGGTTCAAATAACGTTACAGAATCTACAAACGCTAAAGAGAGGAGAAAAGTTAGAAAGTTATATTTAGATAATAGAAAATCGAAAGTGTTACTAAGCACATCAACCCGTCAAAATTCCTCTATTACACATGCTTCTTACATGTCGAATAATGGTAATTATATTCGTTTATTTTACAATTGATATGCAAATATAAAAATTATATAAAATTTGCAACACTCTTTAATTTATAGTATTTATAAAAATTAATATTTTTTTATTAGTACTAACCATTTTTTCTAATTATATAACAGATGTCTTCAGTCGTCGTCTTAGATTAATATCTATAGATAACTATACAAACGTTACCTTAGACAAGGAAAATATAAACTCAACCAAATCATACGTACATCAACATACAAATATGTATCCTCCTTCAAATGGTATGTACTTCTATATACACGAATTTAAGAATATATGCTTCATATTTATATAACTCATAACAATTTCTAACTTTCTAATTTCTATTTTAATCTTACCAGGCAACTATATTTTCAATAATAATGTTCAAACATCACATACGACTGATAAACATAATTCAATGTTTTGCATTGGCACGACATCCACCAATCGTTCGACAATAATTCATAATTCTCCATCAACAAATTTAAATGTTAGAACTCCCTTTTCTAACATTTCAAACGGTACGCATTTATAAATATACGAATTTAGAAATGTAAACTTTACTTTTATATAAATCATAACTGTTGGTAACGTTGTAATTGGTATCTTTATTTTATCAGGCAATTGTATATACAATAAAAACATTCAAACACCAATATCTATTAACAAACATAATTCAATGTTTGTGAATGCCACGTCATCCGGTAATTTTTCGACAATGATCCAGAATTCTTCATCAATCAAGTTACCAAGAGGAAAACATCAATTAAAAAGGAAGACTCCGCATATATCCTCTATACCTGTGTTTGACTTGACATTAGATGAAGAAAGTAATGCTGATCATATTGTCGAAGATAAACTCCGCGGTATATCAAAAGGTGATCATAATTCTAATAGTTTTAATATTATTTAAATTTATTAAATAATTTATTTTTTATAATCTTTATATTTTTTTTATATTTTTTTCATTCAACAGATTACTTGGATCATGGAGACGAAATTGTTATATGTCAGATTTGTCATGCAAAATTATGGGTAGATGAATCGCTTAGAGGGCAAAAAAAAGGCAATACGTCTTATTCCCTATGTTGTGGTTATGACAAAGTTGAGCTACCACCCTTAAAAGAAGCACCCTCATCTTACAAAAATCTTTACCGTTCCGTAGATTCTAAAAGCAAACACTTCATGAAGAACATTCGACGTTACAATTCAATGTTTTCATTTACATCCATGGGAGGCAAAGTCGATTCATCCATCAACAGAGGCAACGCACCATACATATTCAGACTTAGCGGTCAAAATTATCATAGTATGGGAAGTCTTTTACCTACTGGTGGATCAAAACCAAAATTCTGTCAGTTATACATATATGATACGGAGAACGAGATTTCAAATAGATCGACAAGTATTGGGTATATTTTTACAATAACTTTAATAAACCGTTTCAATTCATTATTTTCTTTACTAACATTAAATATTTTTTTTAATATTTTTAGTGGACCAACGAGCGGTTCTACATCAACTTCAAGATCATATGATCTCCAGAGTATAGAATTTTTGAAGGTTATGTTAGATTCAAACAATGCGTTGGTCAAGTCTTATAGGATGGTAAGAGACAGTCTTCATGAAAATCCGGGTGCTAACTTGAAGTTAAGATTAATCAGAAAAAGAGAACAAGATGGAAGGACTTATAACTTACCAACTTCTTCTGAGGTAGCTGCTTTAATTGTCGGTGACATTTGTGATTCAATTGAAAAAGAGACATCATTGTTGAAACCTCATCAGGATTACTAAAGCGTATCAGTGAATTATATCCTTCTTACCTTGCTCTTCAGTATCCATTACTATTTCCATATGGCGATGATGGTTACAGAGTTGACATCCTTCATAGAGGTATTACATCTTCAAGTAACAGCAAGCGCCCAACCTGTACAATGAGAGAATTTTTTGCTTACAGAATTCAAGATAGAGATCAATCGTTCTCACTACTTCTTAATGCAAAAAGGTTGTTCCAACAATTTTTGGTTGATGGTTATACAATGATTGAAAGCGAGTGATTATTTTTCATACGTAAGCAACAAAAAATTCTTAGATGTGAGTCTTATGAGAATCTGCGTAATCACCAAGTACGTGGTAGTACAGATATTTCGAACGTTGGTCAACGTGTGATTTTACCTTCTTCATTTACCGGTGGTGCACGTTATATGATGCAAAACTATTTGTATGCCATGTCACTATGTAAATGGTTTGGATATCCAGATTTTTCATAACCTTTACGTGTAATCCAAAATGGCCAGAAGTTCAAAGGTTTCTTAAGGACACTCCACTTCATCCTGAAGATAGACCGGATATATTATGTAGGTTATTTAAGATTAAGTTGGATGCATTTATTAAAGATTTAAGGGAAAATAAAATTTTTGGCAAGGTTCAAGCAGGTATTTGAAATTATACTTATATATATATATATATATATATATATATATATATATATATATATATATTTCTATATCTTCTTTAGATTCTAACTTCTATCCTATTTGTATATTTTTTATATGCAGTGGTTTACACAATTAAATTTCAAAAAAGAGGTCTGCCTCATAGTCATATATGTCTGTTTATGCATTCTGAATGCAAGCTTCCTACAGTTGAATATATCGATCCAATTATTTCTGCTGAGATTCCAAATATTGATGAAGATCCAGAATTGTATTCACTTGTGAAGGAGTTCATGATTCACGGTCCATGTGGAGCTGAAAATTTCAATTGCCCATGCATGGTGGACAGAAAGTGTTCTAAAAACTTTCCAAAGCAATTCTGTAATCATACTTCAGTTGATTCAGATGGTTTTCCTTTATATAGGAGAAGAAATGATGGAAATTTTGTTGAAAAATCTGGTGTTCAGTTAGATAACATAAATGTTGTTCCATATAACAAATATCTGTTAAAAAGATATCAGGCACACATTAATGTTGAATGGTGCAATCAAGGATCTTCTATAAAATATTTATTTAAATATATAAACAAGGGTCCTGATAGAGCGACTGTTGCTATGGTGCAAAGCAATAATGATACTGAGAACAACGATGCAGTGGATGAAATCAAAGAATATTATGATTGTAGATATATATCTGCATGTGAAGCATCATGGAGAATTTTTAAATATGATGTTCATTATAGGCATCCTGTTGTGATTAGACTACCTTTTCATTTGCCTGGTCAACAACAAGTTGTATATGAGGCAGACGATGATATTGAAGATGTTCTTGACCGGCCTTCAGTTGCTTCTTCAATGTTCATATCTTGGATGAAGTGTAATGAGATCAATAAAGAAGCATAAAAACTTACATATGTTGAATTTCCTACCAAGTTTGTTTGGAAACCTAAACTTCAAACTTGGAAGCTAAGGGAAGTTGGATTTTCTATTGGTAGAATTCACTTCGTTTCACCTAAGCTTGGCGAAGCATATTTTTTAAGAATTCTTTTAAATAAAGTGAAAGGTCCAAAATCCTTCGAAGAAATTCGCACGGTCAATGGTGAAATTTGTTCTTCTTTTAAAGATGCATGCTATAATCTGGGCCTTTTGGATGATGACAAAGAATACATCGAAGCAATTAAGGAAGCAAGTCTTTCTGGATCTGGTTTTTATCTGCGTTTCTTATTTGCTACGATGTTATTGTCCAGCAGTTTGTGTAAACCAGAGATTGTGTGGGAAAACACATGGGGATACCTGTCAGATGGAATTCTTTATACTCAACAAAAGAGATTAAAGTCTCCAGGTATTATATGTTTATTACATTATTATTAAAACTATATCATATAAATTTCCAATATGCACTCAATTACATTTTACGTCTCACTTAATCTCTTTTTTAATATGTTGTAACTAATATAGTATTGTTCGTACAGGTTTATCACTAAACGAAGATCAAATTAAAAACTTGACTTTGTTTGAAATAGAACAAATTTTACTCCGAAACAATTCCAGTCTCAAGAACTATAGAAGGATGCCTTACCCAGATGCTGATTTGGTTTCATCTTCAAACAATCGTTTGATAGTCGAGGAGCTAGATTATGACATACCAAATTTGAAGAATGAGTTTGATCGGCTCTTTGTTTCATTAACCGACGAGCAACGCAACATTTTTCTTGACATAATGGCTAAGGTTAAAAATAATAAGGGAGGTGTATTCTTTATTTATGGTTATGGTGGAACGGGTAAGACATTTCTCTGGAAGACAATTTCTGCAGCAATTAGATGCCAAGGAGAGATTGTTTTAAACGTTGCTTCAAGTGGGATCGCTTCATTATTATTGACTGGAGGCAGGACAGCACACTCTCGATTTATAATTCCCATAAATCTTACCGAGGATTCTTTTTGTAGAATAAATCCAAAGAGTGATCTTGCGAGTTTAGTAAGAAAAGCCTCATTGATCATTTGGGGTGAAGCACCCATGGTACACAAGCATGCATTTGAAGCTTTAGATCGAACTTTGAAGGATATATTACGATTTGTCAATCCTACAAACTCAAATATTCCATTCGGAGGGAAAGTGGTTGTTTTTGGAGGTGATTTCAGACAAATTCTACCTGTTGTTCCGGGTGACAGTAGACAAAACATTGTCAACACTTGTTTAAGTTCTTCGTTTTTATGGCAACAATGCAAAGTCCATAAATTAACAAAAAACATGAGGTTAACTGTTGGAAGCGATTCATCTGCTGTTGATCGAATAAGGGGTTTTTCAAACTGGCTTTTGGACATAGGAGAAGGTAATGTTGGTGGTCCGAATGATGATGGAGCAATTGTTGATATTCCAGAAGATATTCTCATTAATGATCCATGTGATCCTATAGGTTCATTAATCAATTTTGTATATCCTTCGATTCTTGAAAACTTCAACATTGCGGGTTATTTTCAAGAAAGAGCAATACTTGCTCCCAAGAATGAAGTTGTTGAAGAAATAAATGATCGGTTGCTAAAATTGATTCCAGGAGAGCAAAAAGAATATTTAAGTTCAGATAGCCTCTGCCAGTCTGAGTTTGTTCATGATCAGTTTGATGAAAATTTATACTCACCTGATGTTTTAAATGGTCTTAAAGTCTCAGGTATGCCCAACCATAATCTCATTTTAAAAGTCGGTGTTCCAGTTATGTTATTGAGAAACATTGATCAGAAAAATGGCTTATGTAATGGCACTAGACTACAAGTCAAATCTTTGGGCAAACGTGTTATTGAGGCAGTTATCATATCTGCAGTAATATTGGAAATCGGACTTTTATTCCAAGAATGTCTCTAACTCCTACTGAAAACAAGATCCCGTTCAAATTTCAAAGAAGACAGTTTCCATTGGCTGTATGTTTTGCAATGACAATTAATAAGAGCCAATGACAGTCTTTATCGAAGGTTGGTTTGTTTCTCAAGGATCCTGTTTTTACACATGGCCAATTGTACGTTGTTTTATCCAGAGTTCAAAGTAGAGAGGGATTAAAGTTGTTAATTTTAGATAAGGATGGTAGACTATCAAATAAAACATCCAACGTTGTGTATAAAGAAGTTTTTAGAAATTTATAAAAACTTCGTACAATTTTATTATTTATATCAATTTATGTTTTTTTTATTTAAATTTTGATTCAATTATACAAAAATGATATTTTCCTAACATATCTACAAATGCAAATTGCCGATCAGATATGAAAACCACTATTCTTTTGTAATTTTAACGATTCATCATATAATTATGACACGACTGATAAAACATATATATTTATTACTTATTAAAAATTTTATTCTTATTCTTCAATTATTAAGTATTACTATAAATAATATTATTTTTAATTTTATCATCCGTGGTGTCCACGGGTTATAACCTAGTATATATATATATATATATATATATATATATATATATATATATATATATATATATATATATATATAGAGAGAGAGAGAGAGAGAGAGAGAAAGAATATGGTGGATATCATTTGTTATTTTTTAATGTACGTAAATATTGTTTTGTTTGGATGGAAAGAAACATTTAAATCAAATCATTTTTTTAACAATTAAAAGGAAGGAGTGTATCATTTTTTCCTAAGCAGTCGTGCAGTTAACAGAGAATATTGGTAAGTGGTGTGATTTGGTAGTTCCTCGTTTTGATTGGGTTTGTCATTTCATCTATTGCTTAGATAAGGCCGTATGGTATACTTACCACGAGATGGCTCGTGGTATACGTGGACCACGACCACGACCGTGCACACCATCCCGGCCGGTCGTGGTCGTGATGTTCCGTTGTGTGTTCCACGAAATCAAACGGAAATAGCTATTGGTCGATGGTTTGCAAACGGCTAGTTTCTTTGTAACGTCTTTTTTTTTTTTACCTTTCAAACATATTAAACCTTTTCTATAAATACCACACTTATATTAAACATACTCACACAATTTCTTCTTTCTTTTCTCACAAAATCACACACTTCTTTTGCATTCTTCCAAAACCAATAGCTCCTAAAAGGATGAATTGGTCAGAAAATGAAGAAGAGAACTTAGCACGAGCATGGGTAGCGGCTTCAGAAGACCCGGTAACGCCTCCTAATTTTTGGATAAAAGTTGGAAACATTTTCCATGATTTAATGGGTTGCCAAAGTCGTAGTCTTGATGAAATTTGTGGTTGCATTTTTAAGGTTTTTTATGTTTTTTTTATTTTATGTTGTTTGTTTTAAATTAATGTAATCTTGTTTCAATGAATAAAAAACTAATTTAAAAAAAATATATGTTTTATTGTCTTTTTGAATTAAATTTAATTAAAAAAAATATGTGTTATTGTGTTTTAATGTATTTTTGAATTAAATTAAAATAAAAAAGGAGGTGGAGTGGCATGCTTAGTGGTAGGTATCACATGTTAATGGTAGTGGAATTGGTGCTGATATGACACTCATTACATATGTGGTATGTGGTGGGTATAACGGATGTCTAAGTCTCGAATATCTAACAATAAATGTGATGTAATGGAGGCTATAATTATGACTACTTGGTGAAGCATCGGGAAGTTCATAAACGCCTTGTCTTTTGCCTCGAGTAAACCTAAAGGGGATTTGCTTTTTGATAGTATTGTTACTATTTCTTTTATGTGGTTTGTGCATATAAACACATGTTAAGTAGGTTGGGTCATTTGGCTCAAACCCAATGCTCTTTATCTTTTGTAATGTTATTTTTTTTACTAGCATCTTGTTGGTTTAACATATTTCCGCATTCAAAAAAACATAATCACTTCACATAATAAACTTTGAGTTAAATGAATTGATGTAGGATTTGTGCCATGCAGAAAATGTGAGATTGTCCTCTCACTAGTTTTTTTAAAGGCCATTTGGTTTGATAAAGTTCATTTAAGGTCTCAATTTCCTAGAATATTTCACCCGAAATTGATAACTTTAACGCTTGGAGTGATTTTTTCCGATGTGTGTGGTGGTGGTGGATGGGGGGGGGGGGGGGGTGGGGTGGGGTGGGGTGGGGTGGGTTCTTAATGGAGGGTGCTTTGGTCTTTTCTTTATTTGGTGACCTTATTACATCTTTTAGATCGATGAACTTGATATTTGAAATCCATTTAACAATATACAGTGATTTCGGCTACACGTTATATTGATGATGTGAATTTGATTGTGATATGAAGCTCCTATATGATATCAATTTCTTCGAGTTAAAGTTAATATTTTTGGTTGGAGAACTTCTTTAGACCACATCACAATCAGTGTAAACTTGGATAAGCGATGAGTAGATGTTGAGTCGTTTAATTGCACTTTATGTGATTCGCACTTAGGGATGACAAAATACCTCATCTTTTCTCGTTATATGGTTGCTTCGGTTGGGGAGACTAATGTGAGTTGTAAGGATTTAATTACCCATTTGGTTGTCTCAATCAAAGAAAGGCTTTCTTGGATGGATAATATGACACTAAATGCTCGACAAAATCATTGTTTTGATGTGGTTGTGCTAACAATGATATGGTCCATATGAAATTTATAAAATAACGGGTCTACAAAAAACACAAAAACACGTTATGTTTGATAGGTATGTCTTAGTCTTTTAATCTTATAGTTAATTTTTCAATAGAGTTTCATTTAAAATTCAATTGGATTGTTTGGTTGTAAAACCCGACAATGAGTATTTCGTCTTTGCATTAACTCTTTTTATTTATAGGTTTTCCTTTTTGATGCAATTCGGCCGTTAAAAAACCTCATTTGTAAAAATCTACATAAAAATCGGAAAAAACGTTTTTCAAGTCAACTAAACCGGCACCAAAACTAATTTTGATCCATTACACAGCACTTAAACCTTCCATTTATGATTTACCACTTCGAACTGCGTTTTCATATATTCCCCCATATTTCTTAAGGTTATGTAAAACATCAATACTTATCCGCGTATAAACCACATAAATCTTCTGCTTTCAAGGGACCTGTATAGCCTAACCTAAGCTAGGTGGGTGCTCATCCTTTAAATCAGATCTAAATTTCTCTGTCAAGACACCTAGACGATGATAAGTTATATTTCTTTTTGAAAAGATAAAGTATTTATTTGGAGTGTAGAGTGCAAAAAAGGAAAAAATCAAAGTTAATTATGGAAAGGTTGAGTACCACAAATTGAATGTTTGAAAAAGGAAATGGGAAAGGAAAGATCAATGAGTATTGACTTGAACAAAAAAAGAAGATGGTCCATATAACCACGAGGAGGAGCCACGAACCCCTATGGCCCTATGGTGCACCCAATGGTTGCACACATGCTCACTATGTCATCACCAATTCAAGGTAGAAGTGCCATGTAATAGTTTAGTGCATTTTGTTGCATCATAAGTGTTCTTTTCAACTAAGGAAGTAGTTTTCAAAACCTAAGATATTCTCAATTATATTTTAGGCGAAACCCAAGTAAAAAACTCAACATATTATCTTTAATTATCTTTAAATCATTATATTATTGTTGAATCCTTTAAAAGGAATTTTATTTTATTTTAATTAAATTAATGTCTTATAAACAATAAAATCGATTGTAGAGCTTAAATAAAGTTAAAAAGATCAAATGATATCATTGATTGAAATTATGAAGTTTATGTAAATAACAATTACAATTTCTATATATTAAAGGCATTATGTTTTTTTGGGAGCAATTTTCTAGAATAACAACTAATGGTTCTAAAAACTAATAATGTCATTAATTTTTTTTAGTTAGGGTTGTCTATGCAATTGATTTTCGTAGATTATGTGTTGGCGAAAGATTAATTTAACAAAGTTCATAAAATATAATGGTTATAAATTTTTAATGGACACTTAAATAACAAAATCGTTTTTTAAAACGTTAATGAGATATTATGTTGTATTTTTTAAAGATTTCCTGACCTTTTATGTGAAGAATACATTTTAGTAGCTATTAGATTTAAGTATGGAAAATTAAATAAAAACTAAAGCTAAAAGCTAAAAAAAACTAGTAATTTTTGGACTATAAAACTTATGTTTAAAATATAAGTAAAAGCTTTTTCTTTTTTTTTTTCAAATTTTTTTCTTAACTACTAAAAACTAAAACTTCCTAAAATTCTAAAAACTCTGTTAAAAACGTCCATAGTTTATAAACCATCGTATTCTACGTAAAAACTAGTTTAGTTTTTACGAAAAATATAACATTTTCATACCATGTTGTGTTTTTCATTACCAAAACAACAAGTAAAGTCATTATTTCTCAATAAATAAATAAAATAAATGGTTGTGGAGATCTTTTGATAGAGATTGAGATATAGCAATGATAAGAGTTTGTGGTCATATGTTCTCATAAGTCATAACCAACTCCACACATGATTTCACTTTATTTATTTTACCTGTATTTA